CAAGTAGGTGCAGGTTCTGTGGGATTCCTGAGCCCGAGGCCGCCCTTTGCCCTGCTCAGGACCAGTGTTCTGTGTCCGCAGCGCCTAGAAGTCAGGCCTTCACCGGGTCCTTCTCTTCACCTTAGCTCCGCCGACGCGGTCAGTAGTATATTCCTGCTGCCCCCAGACACGCAATTGCACACCCAGAGCAAGGTGACTGAGGCCCAGCAGCACGCTGCGTGTGTGCATAGACTCAGCATCTTCTGATTTGCAGGCCCTCGGACCAGAGGGGCCGTGCAGTGCTCAGCTTCTGCACGCTTGGCTCTCGGGGCTGCGTGCCCATCCTCACCCAGAATGCTCACTGCAGGCATCACGAGGCATCGCCTCTTCCGTTCCCCCAGAAACTGCCATGGTGACCCTCACCCCCCAGCGACAGGTTTAACTTGGTGTTTCTGATGACCGACAGATAGCTGACCTGAGGGCTGTTGTACGGATTTTCTGTCCGGTCTGCAAGGTCGCAAGCTGGGAGCTTTGGGTGCTGCACTCGTGTCCTTCAGGCTTGTTGAGCAGAACTGTGTTTACTGCTTCTCTCTGGAGCAGAATCTTGTCAGACAGAACAGAGACCTCGTCTCTGGTGGGGCCGATGCCCGCGAAGAGCTGTGTGCCTGCCCTGTTCTCCTCTCTGGGGTCTCCATGTCCTTGGGCTCTGAAGTGTAGGCAGGTGCCCTCTCATTTCTGCCCGTCAGGAACGGGCTCTGGGAAAGGCTGGGAAGGAGGCAGCCCGTTGACGAGGAAGCTGTTTGGTTTGGGAAGTCACCATTTTGCCGGGGCTGATCGACAGGTGCAGGGGGAGCCCAGCGCTGGTGTGTCCTGAGAATAGGAGATGTCCTCCCATCCCCGGTACTGGGCACTGCTGCCCAGCCTCCCTGTGCCAGTGTGCATGTGTGCATGTAGCTGGCGGGGGTGGGGGGGCTTTCCCCCTCCAATCCCATCCTGCTACTCCCAGCAAGAGCCAGTGGATTCTAAAGCAGCCCATCCCCTCTGGGTATCTTGTTCCCTCTCCCTCAGTCCCCAGATGGCCCCCAGACCGCTGTCCTCTGCGGGCATTTTCATTGGCTTGGTGGAAGGGTTCGAGATGAGCACCTTATTCTTTGGGGGAGGGGCAATTCTGTGTGTGTGAGAGAGAGAGGTGTGCAGATAGGGAAGTTGGAAGTTGAGTGTGGGAATTTTAAACTTGGAAATGTGAGTCAGGATTCCTGGGTCATGTTCTGGTCTCCATGCCTGAAGGATCCTGGGAAAGGCCCTTCAGCGGAACCATCTATTATGTGGAGACTATGCACCCCGAGAGGACAAAGCCAGCCTCATCACTGTTAATGACTAGTCCCACGAGAACACAACTTCACCCCAGGCCTCTCCGGGCGATCCAGTCCGGGACTTGGGAATTCCCAGCCCTTTTCTGCCCCGGCACCTTAGGATGGAGAGGCCCTGCCTTCCTCAGGCATTCACCCCCCTCCAGCCCCCTCTGGAATGTGGCACTTTATCTTGTACTTTGCTTCTGACGAGGACCGTGGTTCTAAAGCTAAGAGGCAAGTTGGGAGTTGGGTTGGACTGGGGGGTGGAGGAAACCGGGGAGCATTACCTCTTTAAAGGAAAAGAGCCCCTCACCTTCGCCACTTCCAAAACTGGTTTCTCCCGATCTGCCCGGGGTCCTGTGGATTTGGTAAACTGGCTGCTGGCTCCTCTCCAGGCCGCTGGAGGAGGACTGGGAGAGCCCAGAGTTTAATGAGTGTCTGGTGCAGCCCACACTGCAGAGTCAAAGGGCTTGGAGAGAGCGCGTCCGCGCTGTAGGCCAGCTTCACCTCTGTTCAGCCAGTCAACCTCTGGGCACCTCTGACAGGAGGCGAGGCCCAGGGGCCGCAGACCAGAGAGTTCAGGAACCCGTAAGTTGAGTTTTCCTTGTCCAGAACTGTATGGTCCAAGTCCACAGGTCACCGTTGGGTTTTCCACTGCCCTTAGGCAGGACGACACAAGCCAGTCCCGACGATGTCACAGTCACCGAGGAGGAAAGCCTCAGTCGTAAACAGAACAGCAACTCCCCTGCAGCATCCAGCAGCCCTACTCCGCCAGCTCCCCAGCCTCAGGGTGTCAGAGCCTCGAACTAAGCTGGGTCCCCTCATTTGGGCTTCCCATTTTACAGATCAGGAGACGAAGGCCCAGAGAGGGTGTGTGACTTCCTCCTCTTACTTCACCCTTTTCCTAATTCTGGCCCTGGCGTTTCACCGTCAGGTTTTTCCTTTGGAGAAAGAGTGGCCCACTTCTGTCCAAAGTGGGCCCCGTAAGAACTGTTAGTTCCTTGGCCTGCGCTGAGTGACAGCTCCTCACCTACCTGCTCCACTCCGAGGAGGAGCCCGGGGCTGGAATTTCCTGTTCTCCGAGGGCTCCCGGGGCTGCCCCAGTGGGCCGGCTC